CAGAATTCATCTCCTTGAAGTTGTAGGAATGAGGTCAGTTTCTTGCTGGCCGTTAGCAGGACACTACTCTGGGCTTCTCAAGGCTGCCCGAGGTTCCTTGACACCTGACTCTCTCATGACATAGGAAATTCTTCCAAGTTAGCAAAGGAGTCTCTTTCCAGTTTGCTAAGATGGACTTTTACATCCATTCCCATGCATACACATACATCTGTATTAATGCACAATATCCATATATTGTGTATTATCTATTCATCAATAGGTATTCATTATACCTATTGATACATACATATAGTATGTATATTTGCTATATAAGATGTATATAGAAATATTTAGATATTTATATTATATTGTATGTGAATAATATTTATATAAATATATAAATAATATGTGTTTATATTATGTATAATTTATATAAATTTATAAATATTTATATATACATGTATAGCAAATATGCATACTGTATGTATGTATCAATAGGTATAAACATATATACACACATGATTGTTACTATGTATATGATATGTATATGTGTATATACATTTATAAACATGTGCACACACACAAACACACCATACAAATAGTAACATAGTATGTGAGTGACATACTACACCTTCACCATACCCTGTTGTAAGAAGTTATGTGTCCTGTCCATACTTACAGTTGTGAACATATGTGTCCATAACTGTATTGTGCCTATCAAGGTATTAACAGTTAATTTCAGCACTTTAAAAAAACACTTATTTTGACTGCACCAGGTCTTAAGTTGCAGCATGCGGGATCTTTAGTTGTAGCATTCAACAAACTTTTATGTGGGATCTAGTTCCCTGACCACGGATCAAACCTGGGTCCTTTTCATTGGCAGCAGGAAGTCTTAGCCACTGGACCACCAAGAAAGTCCCATAATTTCAGTACTTTAAGGGACATTGTCCTGTAAGTTCTAATGAATCCTGTCCTGACAAGTGTTTCAGCAAGTGTTTGAGCCTTTGAAACTAATGTTCTTAATTTTGAAGTCAAAGATCAAATGAAGTGTAGATGATACTATGTCCATCAAAGAAGTGAAAAACTCCCTCAAACAGTTTAAACCTGTAAGCAAACCAGTTTTTAGCACTTAGAGTCAATGCTTTCTCTATTCAGTAGCCTCACATACAATCAAAGATTGTGTATTACTTTCCCATTGCTTCTGTAACAAAGTACCACAAATTTAGTGGATTCATACTGAACACATTTATTATCTTATAGATGCTATGCATCCCTTCTGGAGTTTCTAGGGAGGATTCCAGGTCTTTGCCTTTTCCGACTTCTGGAGGGTGCCGCATTCCTACTGATAGCCCCATGTTGGCAGAGTTCATCTCCTTGAAGAGGAGCCCCACATTACCCCAACCTCTGCTTCTGCTGTCCCATCTCCTCTCACTCTGACCCTTCTAACTCTTCTAAGACCTTTGTGATTACATTGGCCCACCTAGATAATCCAAGCTAATCTTCCTATCTCCAGACCCTTAATCACATCTGCAAAATCTGCTTCTTCCAAGTAAGTTAGCTTATTTTCACCCAGGATTAGGATGTGGACGTCTTTGGGGGACCACTGTGCTGTCTTCCACAGATAACATTTCCTGTTTAACAGAAATGGAATTTGAATTAGGTAAGATACATAACCATATATCTTCATAGGTTTCAGTACATTCCCTATACAATAGATACTGGAGACCAGTTAGATATTGAATAATACTTAATACACTTTGGGTTTTATTCAGTGAAGCTTTATAGTATTTACCTCACATACTAAGTTCCTTCTTATAATATTGAAAAAGTATTCTAAAAACACTGACAGTAACATGCTACTGGTTTTTTTGTTTTTGGTTTTGTTTTGAAGAGGCTCTTTCCTAATTTTCTATCAAGTTTTTTAATTATCTACAAAGGAGGTATTTAGGTCTACATCCTTCTACTTGATGAACTGTTTAAAGGAACAGGGAAAACGGACTACAGAACAAATCACAGAACAGACAGATCGAGTGATGAGAACTTCCAGTTGGAGATTTGTGTTCATTAGCTTCTTGTCTGCCTGACAAGTATGTCTCCTACATCTAATACAGGACTATTACTAAAGCCTGTCAAGATTAAAGCATATCTGCGTGTGATCGCTCCACAACCTCAGCTGCACAAGAACTGAAAAGAAACAAGGAAAATGCAGTAGGGTTTTAGATTCTAGGAAACAGACAGTGTACACAGTTAATGGAACTGATCTTCATTCTTGCTCAATTTTCCTTTGTGAAAGATGCTATTTCCTGTGTTTGAACTTTTCCATAACGTCAGTCACTAGGGCTTATACCAGGCCACTTCCAGTGGCTATTGGGCATTTGGATTTCTTCTTAAACAATGAAAAACACAGCTACCAAAAATCAGCATGTAGTGTCAAAAGGGTAAGTCATTTGATACACTGAGAAACTGAACCTTAAATCTACATTGGTTAAGTAGACTGAAGTTTTATGTTAATTTTGAACTTTTAAGCTGTCATAAAAATATCAAATCAGTCTCCAGTTTGTGTGTCAAAGCCAAATAATGAATTTTCAAATTAAAACACAATTGAAAAAACGTTTACGATAAAAAGTAAGTAACACTGTGTCTACTACTGCGCGGGCTGGGGGTGGGAGGTGGGCAGGGAGGGGAAGGACATCTTGAATGGTTGAAATGAAGATGTCAAGAGACAGCAACTGCTAGACTTCCTTGGTGGTCCAGTGGTTAAGACTCCGCTCCGTGCTTCCAATGTAGGGGGCCTGGGTTCGATCCCTGGTCGGGGAACAAGACCTGGCACAGCCAAATTAAAGCAAAAAAACCCCAACAACTCCCAAATCTAACAGTGGTTACTAGGCACTGCCTCAGCCTCTCCACTTAGGGGGTCTGAAATATTAGGTAGGAAAAGAATATTAGGTAGGAAAAGAAACACACATCTTTGCTAATGTTCCCATTTTCGTGTCCCTTTGACTGGCTTAGCAGCTGTCTGCTTTGCTCTTTCAAACATGCCTCTTCCCAGGCCATCCCAACTCCTTCTGCCCCAAACACCTGCCCCACCCTCTGCTGCTGCAGTTCAACTCCTTTTTTTGAACTTTTATATGTTTTCATGAATCATCAGTACCTCTTGTCTTCTCTCCATCGGCTTGGCATAAGGGTGTTCAGCATTTAGCCGAATGAAGCATGTTTGTCCAACATTGAAAGACTTTCTTCAGCTTTCCAAAACTCTTTATCTCAGTGTGTTTATGCAGACGTGCCTTTCTCTGTGGCTTCCGGGGGTGGTGGGCGGGGAGGGGACGGGGCAGGGTTGTCTTGACCTCTGCAGATCCATCAAATAGTGACAGAGCAGCCCTTGCTCTAGTGCCAAGTTCTCTACCAACCCTTCACCTCCAGAAGCCACTAGATCTCAGCGACTCTGTCTCAGATCAGGGTGGGCTCTGCTCCACACAGTATGCTCCCAGAAACCTCAGCAGAAGGAGACTCCGCCGTCAGGGACATTAGGTCATTGTGGTGGGAAGAGAACACAGCAGTTGCCATCTGAGGCAGTCTTGGTCCTTTGCATTTCCATATAAATGTTGATGCCTTTTGACACTCCCTTCCCTCCACCTCCAAAAAGCAAACCAAAAACCTTCTGGAATTTGGAAAAACATTGAATATATCCCTCCAGTGTCTGGCTTGTTTTAATTTTTAAAATGTTTATTTGCTGCGTTGGGTCTTAGTTGCATCATACAGGGTCTTTCACTGTGGCATGTGGACTCTCTGGTTGTGGCTCCTGGACTTATTAAGTCTGGGGCATGTGGGATCTAAGTTCTTCCTCCAGGGATTGAACCCAGGTCCCCGGCATTGCAAGGTGGATTCTTAACCACTGGACCACCAGGGAAGTCCCTGGATTATTTTATTTTTTCATATGTATTTATTATTTTCTCTATTTGTGAAGAGCAGGTGCTCGGGCTTCTCACATCGGAGGCTTCTCTTGTTGTGGAGCACTGGCAGGCTCTAGAGTGTGCAGCTTTAGTGGTTGAGATTTGCGGGTTTTAGAACACAAGCTCAACAGCTGTGGCAAATGGGCTTAACTGCCCCAGGCATATGGAATCTTCCTGGACCAGGGATCGAACCCGTGTCTCCTGCATTGGCAGGCAGATTCTTTACCACTGAGCTACCAGGGTAATTTTTTTCTGAGCATTCTATGCCATGCACTTTACGTAAATCATCTTGTGTGGTCTTCACAATAATGCTGAGCAGGTTGTAGTATTATTCCCATTTCACAGATGGAAAAACTAAAGTTTTGCAAGAGTAAGCAGTTTACCAGAGGCCACAGTTCATAAGAGATCTAGGAACTCTGCCTGCATAGTCTGTAAACTTAACCATTTTGTGCAGCTGAGGGAGAGAGGGAGGGAGAAAGGGTTGGATGGCTGGGGGGTGGATGGAAGGAGTTATTTGGGGAAAGGCAGGCTTGGAGGAAAAGTCCATCAAGGTTTCTTACATGTGCTGGCTCTCAAACTGCAAAATATCTGTTTACCTTGATACATAATTATTTGTTCAAATAGCAACGGACCTTCTTCTCTGATTTCAGCATTTACACAGGAAGTTCCTACAACGAGGTGCTTGCCAGTCGCCCTTCCCCAGATCCCGAATGCACCCCTGGCCAGGTGGCGCAGAGGACAGTCACTCTGCTGGTCATGCTGAGCTCATACTCTGTAAGTTTCATTATTACACAGATGGGGGTTTTGCTAGAAACCAGCTTTAATCCCAGTGGTGGCTGACCCTAATCCCATAAGGGACTCATTTAGAGACTGAGCCTCTGTCAGGCACCCAGAGAAGAATAACTCCCAGAGCCCATGCCCTGGGACTGGGAGTAAGCTAGATCCAGCTTTTGTGACCCTCTCTCTCTGTCTTTTGTAGAATGGCTGTTCCATGAGGTCAAGACTGGGGCCCCTCCCTTCTCCCACTTTACCAATGCCTGGTCTCATGGGGTTAGTTTGGAGCCCACCACGATGGCATCATCAACCTCCTCCCCGGCTCCTGGCTCCAGGTCCAAGAAGCCTCTGGGCAAGATGGCTGGTGAGTGGACACAGACTCCTAATTCGAGGAGGCTGCCTGGCCCCCAAACACAGGCCCTGGAGAGATTCAAAGGAGGCTGATGGTGTGGGGGGAGTGGTCCTGTCTTGACTTCAGTGTCCAGGGCTCTGTGGGGAGTGAGGCAGTGTGCCTCTGGGAGCCTTCAATCATTTTGGCTCACTGGTCTCCCAGGTGTGCTCAGCTAATCTTCCCAGCCTGGAAACCACCGTGCTGAGTACTTGACTTGATGTCTCTTGTCCTCTAAATTGCTCAGAACCATTCAGAGGAAGGAGACAAGCAGAGCAGAGAGAGAGGACACCTCCGGAACACCAAACTTTCTATCCTGATCAAAAGCTAGAGAAGCTGAGTTGAAATCATTTGGAGTACTCAACAATATGCCAGATAAGGCATTATTTCCTCTAACCTTCAACAGCAACTGAGATGAACCCATTTTCCAGATAAGGAAGTGGAAACATAGACTGTCTTGTTTAAGGTCATCCAGAAAGGAAGCAGTCCACAATCAAATCTGTGCGGCCCTCCGAAGTGTGGTTTGGAATCAATCAAGTGCTAAGGTCTTCAGGAGCTCTGGACAGTGACCTCCTTCCACATTCCCATTTTACCCATTTGTCAGGAAGCTAGGATTTCTCAGGGCTTCCCAAGTGGTGCTCGTGGTAAAGAACCTGCCTGCCAGTGCAGGAGACATAAGAGATGTGGGTTCAATCTCTGGGTTGGGAAGATTCCCCTGGAGGAGGATATGGCCACCTACTCCAGTATTCTTGTCTGGAGAATCCCATGGACAGAGGAGCTAGTGGGCTACAGTCCACAGGGTCGTGGAGTCGGACATGATTGAGGAGACTTAGCATGCACGTACGTAGCATGTGGGATTTCTCATGGCCAAACAGGTGCCAATCCTTGCCTCTCTTTTGCTCCTCGTGATCTAAATCCACCTCCCCTCAGTGCTAAAAATGGGTTTGGGGACTAACTGACATTTACCAGCTTAACATAATTCTGTTTACAGGCTCACAGATGGTTGATTAGTCATCTTTTGGGAAGTTCTGGTTAGGCTGGGGGTATCAGAAACCAAAGGGTGTGGAGCAGGCGAAGCTGTCTTTCCTAATCAGGCTGGTAAACAGCTAGAGTTGTTTTTTCTCATATTGTTGTTATACCAAAGATTTTTTTTTAAATTATTGAGGTATAATTGACATACGCTATTCCATTAGTTTCAGATGTACAGCATAGTGATCCAGCATTTGTATATATTGTGAGATAATCATCGCACTAAGTCTAGTTAACATCCATCACCTTACAGTTCCTTCTTGTGATGAGAACTTTTATGATCTACTCTTAGTAACTTTTGAATATGCAGTACAGTAGGACAAGCTGGTATTACATCTCCGCTGACTTATAAAACTGCCAGGCTTCTTTATTTATTTTGGCTGCTCTGGGTCTTTGTTGCTTTGCGTGGGTTTTCTCTAGTTGCAGTGCACAGGCTCCTCATTGCGGTGACTTCCCTTGTTGAGGAGCTTGGGCTCTAGGGCACGTGGGCACCAGTAATTTCTGCTCATGGGCTCTAGAGTGAGGGCTGGAGCATAGTTCCCCGGAGGCATGTGGAATCTTCCTGGACCAGGGATGAAACCCATGTCCCCTGCATTGGCAGGTGGATCCTCAACCACTGGGCCACCCGGGAAGTGCAAACAACCAGCTTTTATGTATTCCCTAAACCTTTAAAGATAAGGGGAAGTTTGGGGCAAGTCCCGAGGGATGGACACAGTACACAGAATAGCTGGTGTGAGAAGGTGGGCAGGGGAGACAGACTGGGGTCCATCCCGAGGTGACTCTTCTCTGGTGGGGTCGGGAGGAAGCCCCTGCTGAGAACTCCAAGCCTAAGCAATGCCTCTCTCCCCTGCAGACTGGTTCAGGCAGGCCCTGTCGAGGAAGCCCACGAAGAAGCCCGTCTCCCCAGAAAGCGCCCCCAGCGACGTTTCGCAGCCGAGCTCACCAGACAGCCCCCCATCCCTGGGCCGCAGCTCAGAGGTGTCTCCCATCCCTACACCGTCGCACGGGGGCGCCGACGGCGGCGGCGGCAGCAGCAGCAGCGGCCGCTGGAGCAAGGACTATGATGTGTGCGTGTGCCACAGCGAGGAGGACCTGGTGGCCGCCCAGGAGCTGGTCTCCTACCTGGAGGGCGGCGCCGCCAGCCTGCGCTGCTTCTTGCAGCTTCGCGACGCCACCCCCGGCGGCGCCATCGTGTCCGAGCTGTGCCACGCGCTGAGCAGCAGCCACTGCCGCGTGCTGCTGATCACCCCGGGCTTCCTCCGGGACCCGTGGTGCAGGTACCAGATGCTGCAGGCGCTGAGCGAGGCCCCCGGGGCCGAGGGCCGCACCATCCCGCTGATGTCCGGCCTCAGCCGAGCCGCCTACCCCGCCGAGCTCCGATACATGTACTTCGTGGACGGCCGCGGTCCCGAACGTGGCTTCCGCCAAGTCAAGGAGGCTGTCATGCGGTGTAAGCTTTGGGGAAGGGCTTGCTCTACCTGGGCTTTTAGGAGACACCCAGTGTAGCCTAGTATGGGCTTCACTCTATTTTATCTTTTTAGGAAAATATTTGTCTGCCCAGCATCTTTTAGCTGGCGGGGATCTTCCTTGAAGCATGAAGGCTCTTTCAGTTGCCACCTGAGAACTCTTAGTTGCAGGGAGGCAGGATCTAGTTCCCTGACCAGCGATGGAACAACCAGTTCCCCCTCCATCCTGCGCTGGGAGCACAGAGTCTTAACCACTGGGCCACCAGGAAAGTTCCTAGGCTTCACTTGATTGCACTTGGCAAATGCTGTGTTTTGGTTTTTTTTACAAACAGAAGGTTTGTGGCAACCTTTCTTGGTCAGATGATAATTAGCATTTTTTTTCTTTTTTAGCACTATGTATTTTTAAATTAGGGCTTCCCTGGTGGCTCAGATGGTAAAGAATCTGCCTGCAATGCAGGAGACCCGGATTTGATCCCTGGGTGGGGAAGATCCCCTGGAGAAGGAAATGGCAACCCACTGCAGTATTCTTGTCTGGAGAATTCCATGGACAGAGGAGCCTGGTAGACTATAGTCCACGGGGTCACAAAGAGTCGGATATGATTGAGCAGTTGTTCCTATTCCTATTTTTTAATTAAGGCATGTACATTTTTTTAAATCAACTTTTTATTGAAGTATATTTGATTTACAATGTTGCTCTATAGCAAAGTGATTCAGTTATATATATATTTTTAATCTTCTTTTCCATTGTGGTTAATCATAGGATATTGAATATAGTTCTCTGTGAAGGGATGTACATTGTTTTAAAAACATCATGCTTTTGAACACTTAATAGACTACAGGAGAGTATAAACATAACTTTTACATGCACTGGGAAGCCAAAGAATTTGTGACTCATTTGACTGCAATATTCACTTTATTATGGTGGTCTGTAACTGAACCTGCCGTGTTTCTGAGGTCTGTGTGTAGTTCAGAGTGCAGGCTCTGGAAAAGACCATGTTACCTGGGTGAGTTACTTAACTGCTCTGTGCCTGGGTTTTCTCATTGGTTGAATGAGAATTACATTATATACCTAAATAAGTATGTACACTAAGTAGGTATTCAGGACATTGCCTGCCACGTGTAAAGTACTCGTAACAGGCAAGGCCTAGCACATGTCAAGTCCTCAATAAATATTAGCCATTATCATCATTATTGGGACTTCCCAGGTGGCTCAGTGCGTAAAGAATTAGCCTGCAATGCAGGAGACACAGGTTGGATCCCTGGGTCAGAAAGATCCTCTGGAGGAGAAAATGGCAACTCATTCCAGTATTATTGCCTGGGAAATCCCATGGACAGAGGAATCTGGTGGGCTACCATCCATGAGGTTGCAAAGAGTTGGACATGACTGACCGACTGAACATACACACACATATATACATCATCATTACTAGTATTAATAGTATTAGATTTCTCTCATTGAGGTCAGGTTGGCAATGTCCACCAAGAGCCAAGAACATGCCAGGAGGGACCCTGGTTTAGTAAAGCCAACAGGTGCAAAATAATAGGGAAGAATTGCCCATGATAAGCATATCCAGGGAGGGGCAATATGTAACAGTGGGTTTGGAAGGTAAAATAGATTAAAAGGCAGCGGAGGCGGGGAGCTGTTGGGGGGAAACAGAGATGCTGGGATCTGAGGATGGTGACAAGCCCTGTGCCTCTTGGATCTCTTTCAGACCTGCAGACCCTTGGCTGATGCTTGATCCATCACCACTGCACCCAGACAGTTGGAGAAGAGTGGGAAATGCAGTTAGAGGGCCCAGGGCCTGGGATTCCAGCAGACACAGAGTTGTAAGGAGTGAGTTTGCAGGACACTGTATGTGACCCAGCGATCAGACTGTCTGTGGCCTCCATATCCTTGGGCTCTCAGGAAGGACCCAGGGAAGTTGGGGAGCCCCTCCAGGGAGGCCTGGCGAGGCTGGGGATTCCCCCAGGAAGGCCTGGGGAGACTGGGGACTTCCCCAAGAAGGACTGGGGAGACTGGGGATCCCCCAGGAAGGCCTGGAAGAGCCAGAAATCGGAGGTGGGAGGAAGTGCTGATACCAAGATATGGCCCACGTGATGCCGCCTGCATGACTGGACATGAAGCCTGGCAGGTCATATCTATGTCTTCATCCCCTGGAATCGGGCACTGGTGTTGAGGTGCATTCCTCTTGAAGAGGTGGCTCACCTGAGTAAGGAGCTGGAATCCTGGACCACTTGCCTCAGCTGCGTGGTTTTCCCAGGTGCAGGGAAGCCCTGAGCAGGCGTCAGGACAAAGCAACAGGTATGCTGTCTTTCACACTCACACTCCTGCCGGGGTCTCCCTGTGATGTCGTTCACATCTAAAAGGTATGTGGAAGATGACCTCAGCACTGTTGTTTCCACTGCACACCTGTGATTCAAGACCCACACCTAGATCCCATTCAGAAGAGACAGGAGAGAGCAGGGAGCAGGTGGGGCAAAGAGAAGGGAAACTCAGATCTTTTAGCTGGGATCAAAAGCCCTCTCACCGATCACTGACATGTGGGGGCTTCATCATGGGTCTGGCCAGAACTCACGCTTTCTCATGCAGAGAGCCCCTCACCTCTGCACTCAGAGGAATCAGTGTATTTCCTCTGGAGGATGGTATGTTTTCAATAAAACTTGTTGTTGAGCTGAAATGAACTTATTACTTCCCTGATGTATACTTTTGTGTCTCTTCGTCCACTCCCCCCGCCCCCGCCACATCTCCTTTTACTGAAAAAAATATACACATATATATTTTTCTAAAAACTGAGATATAATTGACATATATTAGTTTCAAGTGTACATGATGTGCTATCTGCATATATGAAAAAACCTTTAATTACAAATTATCTTATTACATATGAAAGGACTAAAGAATAATGTAGTACACTCACCTACTCTACACCCAGCTTACTTTTTTTATACAATACATTGTAATTTTTATTTTATTTTTTTCCAGTTTAGGATTTTTATTATTTTTTTTCCATTTATTTTTATTAGTTGGAGGCTAATTACTTTACAGTATTGTAGTGGTTTTTGTCATACATTGACATGAATCAGCCATGGATTTACATTACACCCAGCTTAGAAGCAAACCCTCACAAGCCCCATGTTGCTCCCTATCTGTCCTTAATTATATTCTCCTTCCTTCTCCCACTAGAAGTAACCACTATCTGAAATTTTGAATGTTATCACTCTTAGCTTTTCTCTAGAAATTTATTACATATGTATGCATCCCTGACAGCATACTTTTACATGGTTTTGTATTGTAAATAAATGGTGTTATGTTTACAGATTATGCAAATTCCTTCCTTTGGCCATATGTTTGTAAGATGTATCCACGATGATGCATGGAGCTCCAGTTCATTCACTTTCATTCCATTATGTAAATATACCACTGTTTAGCTGCACATTCTTTTACAAATGGACACTAGGTTGTTTCCAGTTTTTTGGGTTTTTTTTTTTTTTGCTATTGAAAATAAGCCCGTGAGCATTTTTATTCTTGTATATGTTTTCCAGGGTAAGATCTTCTAGGATTTAACCTAGATGGGGAATAGTCAAGAGTATCCAGTGGTTTTGGCAGAAGATATGAAATTTTCCTCCAAGTTGATTCTGCCAATTTCTGTTCCTACCCTGTGTGTATAAGAGTTGTCACTTTTTCATCTTCTTGCTAACAATTAGAATTATCAGATTTTTTTTTTGTATTTTTTGTTGCACTGCACAGCTTTTGGGATCTTAGGTCCCTGACCAGGGATTGAACCCAGGCCTTGGCAGTGAAAGCTCTGAGTCCTAAACACTGGACTGCTAGGGAATTACTTAGAATGATCAGTTTTTTAGGGCTTCTCCAGTAGCTCAGATGGTAAAGCATCCGCCTGTAATGCAGGAGACCAGGGTTCAATCCCTGGGTTGGAAAGATCCCCTGGAGAAGGCAATAGCAACCCACTCCAGTATTCTTGCCTGAAGAATTCCATGGACAGAGGAGCCTGGTGGGCTACAGTCCACGGAGAGTCAGATACAACTGAGTGACTAACACATACACACACGTCAGTTTTTTAAGTGTGTGTTAATTTGGTGGGTGAATACTGATATGCTATTGTCATAATGTTCTTTCTTCTCTTTTGCCTTTATTATAAAAAATATACACTAAAAGGAAGGAGGCAGTTTGACAAATCCCTGTATACCTATCACCCAGTTTCAACAATCACCAACTCAGAGATAAGCTTTTATCAACAATAACCCGACCCATAAGTCCCCTCCAGATCCTCTGAAGCAAAACCCAGGTGTTATTTTATTTCTAAATATTTAAGTATGTCTCTCTAAATTATTAGAAGTTTAAGAAAAAATATGACCACAATATAATAGTATCTTTTAAAGAAGTTTTTTATTTTTTAATGTAAACACTTTTATCTATTTGTAGTTTGTGCTTTTTGTGTCTTCTTTGGGAAATCTTGCATACTCTTGTATTTTCTTACGGAAGTATTTTACATTTGGTTCTTTAATCCAACTGGCTGTGCTGTTTGGGTTTGTTTTTGTTGCTCTTGATTTGTAAATCAGAGATCCATTTCCCCCCATTTGAACTGCTGTTCTTTGCTGCCTAGTCCCTCGTCCCCCACTGACTGTGCTGTCACCGGTGTCATGTTTTGTCATATGTCATACGCCTAGGTTCTCCAGGCTCCTTCCTTCATCTGTTCACGTACCCTGTCAGTGGCACCCTGCCTTACTGACTGTGATTGTTAGCAAACCTTGATAATTTACAGTCCGCTCTTCCCACTTCTTTTATTTCTCAGAATCACTTCAACCCTTCCCGTTCCTTTATTCTTTCATATAAATTGTTTATTCACTATGTCAGATTCCAGGAATGGGCCAATTAGTATTTTTATTGGACTTACATTGAGTTGAGAGATTAATTTGGAAAGAATGGATGTTTTAATACTTTACAAAAATGTTATGACTCTATTTCTTTGTCTTTAAATGTATTTCAATAAACTTTACAAATCGTTTCCATATTGGTCAGTCACATTTTTTATGAGATTTATTCCTTAACACGTCATATTTTCTGTTGCTAGTGTAAAGTTATTTTTATTTATTTTGTGATACGAAAAGCTTTACTTTTTCCATTTGGTCCAAGCTTGAGAGAGGGCTCCCGGAAGAAGCCCTGGCATTAGCAGGGCTCCTAAAAGGGCTCCTAGTCTTGCTTGAGGGTGAGCCTTTTGAAGAGATATTTGTCCAGTCGTGCCTGGGAACCAGCCAGCCTGCAAAGGTTGGTCAGATGGTCCCCTGTCTTCTTGATGCGTTTCACCTCTTAACTAGGAAGTGGTTCTCCAGGAAGTCACAAATGTGGGGACTTGTGACAGAACCCAGACCATGCAGATCCAAAATGGCCTGCTCTAGGTTCTTCTCCAGGAGAAGGGCAGCTTCAATAGTGTCCTGGGTTTTACCCCACTCGTCTTGAGACGGCTTCTGCACCTCCAGGAAGAGGGTGCGGCCGCTGCGCTGGCTTGGCATTGTCAAGAAATGCTCGAGGGTCCTCGCGCTTCTCCTTGGCCAATTTGCAAAAGAAGTGGCCCACACCCTCCAGAGCCACAATGTTGCGGTCCAAATAGAAGCCCAGAGAGAGGTAGGTGTACAAGTCCCGCAGTGTAAGTGACAGCGGCCACCACCTCAATGGAATAATTCTGACCAATCTGGGAGCTCATGGTTGATCGGTAATAAGGAATTAACCTCCAAAAATGGAGATGGCTGGTCCCGGTGATCGTGGACAGCTGAGTGACTGATTCTGAAGGCTGCCACTGAAAAAAAGATTGGAGGGTGGTCGGAGGCTGGAGCAAGGGGCATCCCTGGGTCTGTTCCGTCCAAGCACTGTTGAAGCAAGAGACGGATCCGCGAGACAGTTGAGGGAACTACAAATTATTTTTATTTAAATTATATTTTTTAATCTGTCACTGGTGAGCTTCCCTGGTGATTCTGCCTGCCGATGCAGGAAACACGGGTTTGATCCCTCGGTGGGAAAGATCCCCTGGAGAAGGGAATGGCTACCCACGCCAGTATTCTTGCCTAGAAAATCCCATGGACAGAGGAGCCTGGTGGGCTACATTCGGACACAACGGAGCAACTAAACAACAACAAGAGGTGAAGACTACAAAACTGGCTGAAATAGATTTTTCAGTTTGAATTCCTGAATCATGTAGGCAGTATCAATCTGAATTCTAAATCTGAATGGAAATTGACCTGTGATTACAAGTTTTCAGGATTTTTTCCCCCTTCTCTCCAGAGCCCGATGTTAAGGCAGGTAAGTTTCCTAAACATCTTGTTTCCTCCAGTGGGACAGCTTTTAAAAAAATTTTTTAGGTAGCTGGCCTTTCATTGAGGCGGTGGCCCTTTAGAGATGTTGCAGAGAAATTACAATTTTCACATGGCAGTCTCTCTAGCCCTCCTGTTTAGAGACCTGCTGCTTTCTCTCTTCACTCAGCAGCGGCCTCCACGAGGGCGGGCCAGCACAAGGGGATCAAGAACAAGGAAACTCGAATTAAAACGCTGGGTGGAAAAAAAAAAAACAAAAAACGCTGGATGGGAGCAGGTCCTACGAATCTGAGCTCCTAGGTTCCTTCACGCCGGAAGAGCCCCCGGCTCTGGGCGCGAAGCACGTCGGGAGTTGCAGTCACCACCCCAGGTGGAGGTGGGAGGAGCTTGTGGGGAGGGGTGGGGCCGCGGCAGGGTTTGCGCAGGCGCACATCTTCCGCCCGGCAGCATGGCGGAGCTAGCGCAGCAGCAGAGCAAGAGAAAGCGCGAACTGGACGCCGATGAGGCGGAGGCATCCAGCACAGAGGGAAAGGAGGCGGGCGTTGGGAATGGTACCTCTGCCCCTGTCCGCTTACCTTTCTCCGGCTTTAGGGTGAAAAAAGTGCTGAGGGAGTCTGCGCGGGACAAAATCATTTTCCTGCACGGGAAGGTACCAATAGGCAGTTCTGGGGAGGGGATACGGAAGGGGATGACCCAATCGTCGCCTCGGAGGCGGATTTTTTTTTTTTTTTAATAGATTCTTCGGAAAATACCAATCGCATTCCTGGGACGGGGGAGGCAGAGTGCACTAAAATGCATCCGCCGGGTTGGTTCTTGGAGGAGACAAGATTATCCGTGAAATTAACTAAGGGAATTAACACGCGTAGGGCTAAATTTCCTAATTCCTCTTTTACTAAAATAAGAACTAACACCAGTAGGGTGTATTGCCGATTAAAAATCACATGTTGAAGTCCCTAAGCATTCATAGTTCATTCATTAAACCTGTAAGATGCTAGTGAAAGTGAAAGTGTTAGCCGCTCAGTCCTGTCCGACTCTGCTACCCCATGGGCTATATCCCACTAGGCTCCTCTCTCCATGGGGTTCTCCAGGCAAGAATACTGGAGTGGGTTGCCATTCCCTTCTCCAGGGGATCTTCCCAATCCAGGGATGGAACCCACCTCTCCTACATTGCAGGCGGATTCTTTACTGTAAGATGGTAGTTCAGTCGCTCAGTGGTGTCAGACTCCTTGTGACCCCATGGACTGCAGCTCACCAGGCTTCCCTGTCAATCACCAACTCCCAGAGCTTGCTCAAACTCATGTTCATGGAGTTGGTGATGCCATCGAACCATCTCATCCTCTGTCAGACGCTTGTAAATGTTGCTGGGTGGTCTTGTTCATCCAGGTCCCAGGCAGTGACATAGAGACTGTGGGAGGTTTGATCCTTGTTCTACAGGACTCCACCCCAACAGGGGAGACAGTTTATTCAATTGCTGGTCCAGTTATACATGTCATGAGCTGACAGGCCAGCAGTGATCTAGGTGCAGGAGACCTGATGAAAATTACTATCTTTGATCTCCAGGAGTGCGCAGTATCTTCCAGTAGACAGACACCACTGGCTCAAATACTGTGTGCTCAGCTTTCTAGCAGGGACTGAGGAGAGACTGAAGACCACCCCAAGAACTAGTGAGGAGGCCGTCCGAGGGTTCTCCAGAACTCCTGGCAAGAGCTTTCACTTTTGGGAGCTTGGGGGAACCTGTCTGAGGCATCTGAGCCTGTCTCTGTCTCATTTTTTTGGCCATGTGGGATCCTAGTTCCCTGACCAGGGATGGAACCCACGCCTCCTGCATTGGAGGTGCGGAGTCTTAACTACTCGACCACCAGGGAAATCCCTGCATCTCTTGTTTTTTAGCGAGGTTCTGTCTGGTTCTCTCAGCCCACCTGTCTTTAGTCTGCGATGCCTGCTGAAGATTTTAGCCAAGAGAACCTTTGAGCTTGAAGCTAGTTGGGGATACCCAAGAGATTCTACTTTCTGTTTCAACATTGACTATTTGTGTCGCTTCAGGCAAGTTACTTAATCTTCTCTAGACCTCAGATTCTTCATCTGTAAAATGGGGAGAATTTGACAGGCCTTGTGAGCCTAGAAGAGAAGATAGCAGAGAAGCTTTGCATCTTTCTGAAGAAGGATGCCACAAGGATTTGGGCTGATGAGATGTCTTCTCTGGGAGAGGAAACATGGGCACCTTTGGCTAGACTTCCCCAGAGGGAAGACTGCAGGGAAGGAAATCCTGAGTATTGGATTGCAGAGGCCTGGGAGCATTTACATTTGCTCTCTGGGCCTCCCCTGTGATTCTGCCCCTGGGCCCACTGATGGTGTCTCCCCCGCAGGTGAACGAGGCATCTGGGGACGGGGATGGGGAGGATGCTGTCGTGATCCTGGAGAAGATGCCATTCCAGGTGGACCAGGTGGCCCAGCTTCTGAAGGGCAGTCCTGAGCTCCAGCTGCAGTTCTCCAATGATATCTACAGCACCTATCACCTGTTCCCTCCAAGGCAACTCAGTGGTAAGCTGAGGGTGGAGGTGGCTGCCTGCGGGGGGAGTGTGATGGTGGGAAAATAGGGGAACAGTGACCACTCCATTACAGATTTGCATGTTCAGTTGCAGTGGTTCCCTCTGAAAGAAGGCGGGAACGCTTGGCATTCTATGAAGACATTTTTGGTTGTCAGAACTGGGGAGTTAGGGTATTGCTGGTTCCTAGAGGATGGAGGCCAGAGATGCTGCTAAATATCCTACAAAGCACTAGATGGGCCCCCACAACAAAGAAGTGGCAGTAGTGTCAAGACTGAGAAACCAGGCTCCAGCATGGTGTGCTTTGGGGCCGGAGTGTGATTCATAGGAATAATAGTAATTGTCCATACTTCTTAAACCCTTTCTGTTGTACTGGCCACCAGTCTTAAGTATTCTATATGTGTCATTGTATTTAATCTTCAGAGCAGCCCTGTTGTGGTAGGGCTTTACAGAGGCGGAAACTGAGGTTTGGGAAGGTTAAGAAAGCTGTCCAAGATCACACAGCAAATAAGTAGCAGAAAAACTCAGATCTTTAGTTGACCAAGGAGTTGCTTTCACCATGTGGCTATGGAATGAGCAGTGTGCTGGGTGCTGTAAGATCAGTTAGTTTCCGGAAGGAACTCACTGTCTAGGGTGGGGAGACAGGGAGTATAATCGAGGAGGGACTTGAGAAGGGGAGGATTTCGTGGGTTAAGAAGCAGAGATTTTTGGTCGTTTATGGTTGCCTGAAACACAAGACCTTGTAGTCAGCTGAAATGTGATGTGGGACCAGGCAGGCCTTTCCTGAAGAGGTTGGGGAGGCCAGCCTTGCTTCTGGAGGGAATGGCCTGAGCTGTGTTATGGGCAGACCAACTGATGTGTACAGAGGTAAGGTATCACTTTTGATCTTTTGTAGTTTTATTACACTTGAACTGAGGAGGAAAAAAAGCAGAGATTTGGGGGTTTTTTTAACGATTTTTTTTTTTGGCTGCCCTGGTTGGCATGTGGGAGATCTTAGTTCCACAACCAGGGATTGAAGTGGTGCCTCCTGCAGTATAAATGTGGATGCTTAACCACTGGATCATTGGGGAAGTCCCAGAGATTTGGTTTTGATCACAAGTATTAATACTTTTTAATTTATTAAGAAGAAGAACTGATTCATTCTAAAAGACCCTGACGCTAGGAAAGATTGAAGGCAAAAGGAGAAGGGGGCGACAGAGGATGAGATGGTGAGATAACATCACCAACTCAATGGACATAAATTTGAGCAAATTCTGGGAGATAGTGGAGGACAGAGGAGCCTGACGTGTTACAGTCCATGGGTCACAAAGAGTCCAGCATGACTTAGCGACTGAACAAGAAGAGGAAGAATATTCCATGCCGAAAGCTAGACATGCTGTGAACTGTTTTCCTTTTGATGGTGAGATTCAGGAGGCAGCTTTGTGGAAAGCATGAGGGAGGCTGGTTGGCCTTGAAGGTTCCTTCCAGCCAGGAAGTCCTGGGATCTGCTTTGCAACACAGGGCAGTCTTCTAATGTCCTTCTGCCTTTTTTTTTTTGCCCTCCAGCGTTTAGGAACAGCTTGGCTTTACAGATACCCTGCCATAGTCTTTTGGATAGGCGTAGTCTTTTCTGTACCCCCAAGAAAGGGTGCTGTTGTCCTTCGGAAATATATATGAACACTTGATGTGAGAGAAGCCAACCTTTCATGGCTGAAATCAAAAACAGCCTGATCTTTTACTGAAAGAGGGTCAGATTGATCTGTTCCCGTTGACGGAAATGGACAACTTTATTTGCTTTCTCAGGTGCTGACGTTTAAACAAAGGTAGTTCTCAAGGTGAGATGGCAGAAGCATGCCAGAGGACACTGTAGCTGCCCAGGACTTGGGACAGCCACCACCTACAGGCTCTGGGGCCACCACTCTGCTGCGAGCCCTTCCTTCTCCTTCCCCTCTTCTCTCCCCATCCTCAGCCCAAATTCAGAAGGTTCTGCTCCACGGATATACCTTGTAGAATTTGCAGCCTCTCCTTTTCATTTTATTTTTCCAACACATGTTCTTCTGTGGTGCTATACAGTTGGTGGTGGCCGCTGCCCGGTCTTTCTATTTTTGTCATTTTTCCCCCCAAGATAAGCACCGAAAGAGACAGTGGGTTGTCAGGGTTACAGGTGTCTGTCCCCACTCAGCCCCCTGTATGTCACACTTCTTCCCCAGTGGTGTACACTCTCAACTGTGAGCCTCAGGTTTTAGCTCCTCTTTTCTAGGGCTCACTCTCTTCAATTTGTATTTATTTTAATTTTTGTTTACTTGGCTGCACCAGATCTTAGTTGTGGCATATGAACTCTTAGTGGTGGCATGTGGGATCTAGTTGCTTGACCAGGGATCGAACTCAGGCCCCCTGCATTGGGAGTCTGGAGTCTCAGCCACTGGACCACTGGGGAAGTCCCTCAGTGTCTTTCTAGCATAAACACAGAGACAGTGCGTTACACTTTTATCTTTCTGGCTGAAACTATGCATGGTGACTTGGAAGGGGTAGCAGTCTGGCTCAGGGCTCCACCTACAGCCCTCTCTAATTTCTTTGTGCACCTTATCCCTGGATAACATCCAGATCAGGGGTTGGCAGACCTTATCTGCCAGGGACCAGAGGTAAGTATTTGAGACTTCATGCATCACTGTAATCCTCTCTGTCACATGTTATTTTCTTCTTTTAACCTTTTTAAAAATAAGAATGCCGCTCTTATCTCACTGGATGCAGGAAAACAGGCCACAGGCCAGATTTGACGTGCTGGCCACAGTTCGTCAACTTCTGTTCCAGATTTTTCCCACCCACAGTGTGGTCTGTAGACTAGGAACGTTGGTACCACCTAGGAGCTTGTTAGAAACGCAGCATCTCAGAGCCCACTCCAGACGGCAGAATTAAAATTTGCATTTTAGCAAAAACCCTAGGTGAGTCACACACACATGAAAATTGTTGAGAGGCACTGGTCTGTAAACACCATCTGTGTGGGGGTGATGTTCACATTTATTCCTCCATCTCTGACCTCGCCAAGAACCCCAGGCTCATACTGAAATAATCACCTACTTAGCATCTCCATTCGGTGGGCTCATGGGTACCTCAGAGGTGAGGATCCGATGGACTGTCTTTAGAGGCACCTGTGTGCGTGCTCAGCAGTGTCTGACCCTTTGTGACCCCATGAACTGCAGCCCGCCAGGCTCTTCTGTCCATGGGATTTCCCAGGCAAGAAAACTGGAGTGAGTTGCCATTTTCTTCTCCAGAGGATCTTCCCGACCCAGGGATCGAATCTGTGTCTCCTGCATCTTTTGCATTGGCAGGTGGATTCTTGACCTCTGAACCATCTGGGTAAACCCCCCCCCCCCCCACCGTTTAGCAAACAGCAACAATTAGAGGCACTCGGCACATGTGAAATAGTAGCCGCTATGCCTGTTCTGACGTGCTGGCCCTGTCCTGGTGCTGGGGCTCCAGAGATGAGTGGCATACCATCTCTGCCCTCTCAGGCCCATTTGAGGGACGTGTCCCCCCTCAAGTTAGTTGGAAAGGGGGAAGTAAAAGCTGTCAGGGTGGGGTAACTGCTTGGATGTAGGGAACAGCGGGCCTTGTTGGTTGGAGCCATGCCAGCCTCATTTCCAGTCCGCAGCAACCAGGCCTACCTCAAACACTCAGTAAAGGACCCCTGAAGAGTGGATCCCACAGACCAGCCCACCCTTTCTTTCCCGCCCTCTGGGGGCCACGCATTCCACAGCCACCAGGGGGCAGCAAGGCCACAGTGTCCCGCGGCCGGCTCCTCTGGCCTTGGTCCTCAGGCTTCTTGGCCCCGCCTCTTGAATCCTAGTCACCAGCTTATTTCTGAGCTGGCTGCCCTCATGATCTTTTCTGGTATTTCTCCATTCTCTGGCCAGTTTCTTCTAGCCTGAGGATTTGCTGTTTCCTCACTTATCTCTTCCAGGTTCTCGGCTGACCACAAGAGCCCACCATGGGCCCCCCCACCCTGTTGCCCTAGGAGAGCACTGGGGGTCGGAGTCCCACCCAGCCAAGCACCCAGACTTCCCCGTGATGGGCCAGGGGCAGTACGTGCTGTGTCTGAGTTTTCCTATGTAGTGCAGGCGTCAAGGGTGCAGGCACATCCAGGCTGGGATCCTGGCTTTGCTCTTTACCAACCATGAGGACTTGAGAGTGTCTGTATTCATCCAACAAATTGGGAAGTTGCTGGCCACGTGACATGAAGAGCTGACTTATTAGAAAAGAGCCTGGTGCTGGGAAAGATTGAAGGCAAAAGGAGAAGGGGGTGAGGATGAGATGGTCGGATGGCATCACCAACTCAACAGACATGAATGTGAGCAAACCCCGGGAGATAGTGAAGGTCAGGGAAGCCTAGCGTGCTGCGGTCCACGGGGTCGCAAAGAGTCGGAGACGACTCAGCAGCTCAACGAGAACTGCGCCTGGTGCCAGGGGCGCGCCTGAGGGGATCAGATAGTGTTTCCTTTGGGCTCGGGGGGGGGGGGGACGGCAGACGGCAACAGGGAGATGCACGTCCACACGGCTCAAGAACAGGAAAGGGGCTGCTCGGGCCGCAGGCCAGGAACTCTGCGGACATGACCCCCAATGCTGGGGCCTGAGCGATGGAAAGAAACCAGCTGTGCAGAGAGCTGCTGAGGGGGTGGGGAGAATGTTCTGGGCTGAGGCTGCTGCACGTGGTCTGGGGGAGGAAAGAGGAAGGGAGAGGAGGCCCCTGTTTCAGGAGCCTGGTGGGCGGGTGCTGACCAAGGTGTCTGAACCCAGATGAGGCTGAGGAAGTTGCTGCAGTTATTTTCTTGTTAAATTAGGTTAGCGCCTGAACCTACGTCAGGATAAGACAGAAAAGGGCATTGTAAAGTTTTTTAACCTCTACCCACAGTGAGAGGATATATTTTACATTTTGACCCAGCACTGGGAAATAAATATACATGAATCCAAGGGAAACAAAAAGTTCCCAAAACAATACCTTTACACTGTGCAACACAC